CCGCGGCTGCTCGGAGGGGTGCACAGTTCCGAGACCCTGCGCACTGTTTCAGGAAAATGCTCCGAGTGGCGGGGAGAGGGGCCAGCTGGTGATGTCAAGGGATTGAGAACAGAGGTTTTGAGACCTTATGAGGGAAAGGCAGTTGCTGACGAAGGAGACCTGTGGGAGCTGGTCTGGGGATGGCAGCCCTTTGCTCATTACCCTGGAATGCTTGTCATTCCTACACGACATCTGCGAGGTTCAGAGGACAACACCAGGGCCCTGAGAAGAGCTAGTCAGAGTCTGGGTACCTGAAACCCAGCTCCCCAAACACGAAAAGCCTGAAGTGGGCAACCCAGAACCTGGGCAGGAGATTCGACCCCTAAACACACACATCTGCATCTTCCTTTCTTCCTTCCTTTCTTGTTTTTTAAAGCACACCAGTGCACCCTGGCCGGTTTGGCTCAGTGGATGGAGCGTCAGCCCGGGGACCAACGGGTCTCAGGTTCGATTCCCAAATCAAGGGCACCTACCTGGGTTGTAGGTTTGACCACCAGCCCCAGTAGGGGTCGTGCGGGAGGCAACCAATTGATGTCTCTCTCACATCTATGTTTTTTTTCCTCTCTCTCCCTTTCACTCTCTCTCTCTAAAATAATAATAATAATAATAATAATAATAATAATAAAGCACACCAGAGTCTGAAGGCAGCTTTATGTTTTAAGCAGCTGCAAAGCTGCCGGTGTAGCTCAGTGGTTGAGCATTGACCTATGCACCAAGAGATTGCCGAATTGGTTTGATTCTTGGTCAGGGCACACACCCAAGTTTCGGGCTGGATCCCCAGCAGGGGGTGCGCAGGAGGCAGCCAATCCATGTGGACGTTTCTCTCTCATTGATGTTTCTATCTCTCCCTCTCCCTTCCTCTCTTTCTAAAAATCAATTAAAAAACATATTTAAAAAATAAAAATAAATAAAAGCTTTATATCTCCAAAGAGAGATCTGAAAACAAGATGTTTACTTATATTGCATTTCTAAGTGTTTCCATAATCTTTTTCACAACCCTCATGTCTTAAGAATGTGGGTTTTATAAAGAGGAGCCAAGACCCATTGACACGACAGGATAGATTTAGCCGAGCAGGCCAGCTCCAACGTCAACAGCTGGGCTCACGTTGGGTTTTAAATAGATAAGAAATGGAAACAGTCCCAGGTTTAGGAATAGAGCTCTAAGTTTGGAGGTGTCAAGTGAGGGTCCTAAAATCAGTTCTGAGCGGAGCAGCTAAGCTGAGGGAAATTCTTCACGAAACCCTCTTTTCCATCATGGTCACGGAAACGGGGTAACTGACACACTGTTGCCCAGGGAGAAGCCCTGTGCTGAGGGAGCGGAAGGGTGACAGGCTGTGAGGTGCTCTGGACCCACGAGACCAAGAGCAGCGGACGCTTCGGCAGTTCCCTCGCTCGGAATTTGCGGGATGGGGAACAGTGCCGACGGGAGGGCCGAGTCCGTGACAATACGGGGAAGCCAGTCGTCTGCTCCAGAGCCAGACACTTCCAACTGTCCCTTCAACAGTGGGCATGTTCATTGTTCTCTTCGTCTATTTTCGGGGGGGTGGTCTTTCTCTATTAGCACCGGGTCATACTCAATCCAAGCATTTCCCGTGCAGGGTGGACGTCTCGCCGGGGAAGCCTCCCCTTCTTCACCAGACTCTGCTGGCCTTGTGGCCAACAGCCCCCCGAAGGAGTCTCCATCCTTTGAGCTAATCTCCTGTCCCCCCAGGACCCTGTGCAGGTCAGTGTTTCTACAGACCCTGTCTCCACAGCTTCTGCCCTCCTCCTGCTGTGTTCTTCACTAAAATTAAATTTTAACAACATGCTGCCTATCTTTTCTTTCTATCATCTGTCTATCCATCCACCTACCCACCTATCTCTCTCTGTCCGCCCATCTATCAACTATCACTCTCTCTGTCATCTATCTATCTATCTATCTATCTATCTATCTATCTATCTATCATCTATCCTACAGTGACCAACAGGAAAATAACCTAACCTGGGTTTTCTTTTTCGTCTTTATGGCAAAGGAGCTGGGTGAGAGAATCACTGAGTAACTTCCAGCTCTCAAATTCTGCAGTTTCAGATTTTTTAAAAATTTATTTTTAAACAAAGTTTTAGTGAAATTTAACATAGGACGTATTGTATACTTTGGCAATTTACATTTTAACCAAATGTACTTCAGATTAAAATTGTATTATGCAAGGTTTAAAATACAGAAGGATATGGAAAGTAAGATATATATGTGTGTATATATATGTATACACACACACACTTGTCATTCACTTTGAGAAATAAAATTTTGTTTTTTATAGACTTGGAAACGCTGTGGTTGAGGTTATCAATTTTACTCAAAGGTGCAAAAACAAGATTGAAATCACGGCTGAAAACGGAGGAAACGGTGCTGGATGCCCATTGTTTCTGGGAGACAGGCGTCCTTGTGCCCGTGTGACCCTGGCGTCCTAGCCGCGGAGGCCAAGGTGGAGAACAGCCTTTCCTTCTGGAACATTTCGTCCAGCTGAAGTGGAAAGAACACCGCTCAGCAACACCACGCACCCAAACAAAACACGGCCCTGGAATTGGGGGTGCCTCTCGTCGGCAGCAAGGACCCTTCCGTGGCACTCCGGGCCCTCTGGCAACACTGCTGGGCCCGACTGGCTTCCCATTCCGGCTCCTTTTCCTTCCCAAGCGTGTGACCTTGGCCAAGTTATGTAATGCCTCCCTGCCTCAGTGTCTTCAAAACATGGAGCTAACCCGCCCTGGCTGGGTGGCCCAGTTGGCTGGAGAGTCATATCCCGTACGCCCAAAACGTTGCAGGTTTGAGTCCTGGTCAGGGCACATACCTAGGTTTCGGGTTTGATCCCCAGTTGAAGTGTGTATGGGAGGCAACTGATTGATGTTTCTCTCTCACATCGATGTTTCTAAACTCTCTCTCCCTTAATCTGTCTCTAAAAATCAATAGAAACATATCCTTGGGTAAGGATTAAAAAAACTTTTTTAATGGGGTTAACCTTAGGGTTGTTGTAACTATGAATTGAGATGACACATGTGAGACTCTAAGAACAACGCCTGTCATGTAGAGAAGGCACAGTGAATATTAGTTATTATTATCATTGATTCCAGAGCTAATTGCTGGGTGTCTACTCTATGGTGGGCTCTGTACAAGACCCTGAACTACTTTTGGGGCTCAGCTGTTGATGTCTGGTCTGCAAGCCATGTGTCACAGCTTTAGATCTGAAGTTGTGGTAATCCAGTCCAGGGGACCCAAGTTAGTCTAGAAAAAGGCCATTTGGAGTCAGAGGAGTTTTTGGATTGGGGAGGGAGGGGGAGATGTAAATGAAGTAGGTACTTAGGTCTTGCCTTTCAGCCGTTGGGCTCTGGCCCAGGTTTCAGAGAGCGCTGTGATGCATGTTAAAATCACCGTGACATTCAGAGTCCAAAGGCCTGATTAGACTCCTGTCCTGTATTTATAAAAAGGTTAGTGGTGTGTTTCCTCAGTGCGAATTATTTTGGGCTCTTATTAATATGTAGGGATATAATAAAGTCTGTACAGCAGAGTGTCCATGATTAATGTATTCCAAGCCCTCAGCTTGCTTTTACTTGAGGAGCGACCCCAGAAGACACTCCACCTTGACCGGTGATTTCAGCAGATAGGAAAGGATGGGGTGAGACGTATAATGACAGCAATACTGCATTTTAATACAAATGTATCCTGGTAATGGTGAGGGGAGACCTGGCTTTTGCAAGTAATTTCACCGGGATGCCCCTGGGGTCCCAGTCTTGTCTGTTCCACAAGCCACAGAGGGTCTTGGGTTCCCCGGCTGCCCGGGCAGGTGCGTCCAGCGGCACAGGAGCAGGTTTCAGGTGGCGCCTTCCCCGGAGGAGCTGACCATTTGGCCTCAGAGACCTCGGGTTGCGCTGGCTTTGGCACCCGCTGGGTTGATTGCTTTTGGGTGACTTCGGGGTAATATTAATAAGCACGTAAATGACAGCTCTCCTGTGCTGTGCCCAGGGGGGTTGACAGATACTGAGTATTTGGTCACTAAGGCCTCCTCTGGCCCCTTCATTTGCACGTTTTGCATGGAAAAAAAGAAAAAAAGAAAAGAAAACTCCATGCAAAGGAGAGAGGTGAACACGCCTCTTCCTAACAACAGGCAAACTGAGCCCCAGCTGTTCCGAAGACGCAGAGGAGGTCACAGCCGGAAATGGACTCTTTCTGCCCCCAGCCCGCGGGGAAGGTGCTTCGCGGGGAGGCTGGAGGTGGCCACGTCCTGTGCCCGCGGGCGCTGGCACCAGGCTGACGGCCTTCCCCGCCCCACCCCGGCACCCGCAGACAGATCAGAGCTAATGGTTTGGGTGTCCTCGGGCCGGGCATTGGACCTTCCCGGCACCAGCTGGGCACAGAGCCGGCAGCAGCGCCCTGCACCGCCACAAACAGGCAGACGTCCAAGGGTCCCGCCCCGCCCGGAACCCGGCTGCGGAACGAAAGCGGCTCCGGACGCGGGCCGGGAGGAGCCCTGGGTCCGGCCGCAGGGGGGCGCTTCGGCTCGGCGGACGCTGCGGGGCGGGGCCTCGGCGCGGGGCGGGGCCTCGGCGGCGGGTGGGAGGAGCCGCGGCTGCGATTGGGGCCGTCGCGGCGCCGGGCGGGGCCTCGGCGGCTGCAGGAGACTCGGCGGCGGTGGGCGGGACTCGGAGGTGGGCGGGGCCCTGTGGCAGCCGGAGGCTCGGCGGCGGTGGGCGGGGCCTCAGGGGTGGGCGGGGCCCGGCGGCAGGGGGAGGAGCGGCCGCGCGCTGAGCCGGCGTCTCCGTGACAGGCGCTCCCGGCCGCCGCCGCCGCCTTTTCTTCCCGGTCCCGGCCGCCCGCGCCGCCGCCCGCTCCCGCTCCCGCTCCCGCTCCCGCCCGGCGCCCTCGCGGCAGGAACTGCGCGGCACAGCACCGCCCGCCCGGGGCTCGCCCGCTCCCGCCGCCCGCGGTCACCATGCCCAGCAAGACCAAGTACAACCTGGTGGACGACGGGCACGACCTGCGGATCCCGCTGCACAACGAGGACGCCTTCCAGCACGGCATCTGCTTCGAGGCCAAGGTGGGCCGGTGCTGCCCGGCGGCGGGGGGGCGGACCCGGGCCGGGGGGCCAGCGGGGCCGGGCGGGGGCGGCGGGCCGCCTGGGCCTTTCTCTGGGGGCCTCGCGGTGGAATCCGCGGCTCCTGCCGGAATTGTGGGCCCCCGCAAAGTTTGAGCGGTATTGCTCCCCCTCCCACCCGCGGACCCCGTCCTCACCCCTCCCCCCACCCGCGGACCCCGTCCTCACCCCTCCCCCCACCCGCGGACCCCGTCCTCACCCCTCCCCCCACCCGCGGACCCCGTCCTCACCCCTCCTCCCACCCGCGGACCCCGTCCTCACCCCTCCTCCCACCCGCGGACCCCGTCCTCACTCCTCCTCACACCCGCGGACCCCGTCCTCACCCCTCCTCACACCCGCGGACCCCGTCCTCACTCCTCCTCACACCCGCGGACCCCGTCCTCACTCCTCCTCACACCCGCGGACCCCGTCCTCACTCCTCCTCACACCCGCGGACCCCCGTTCTCTCACTCATCCTCACACACTGCGGGACCACCTCCTCACCCCTCCTCACCCCCGCGGACCCCGTCCTCACTCTCTCACACCCGCGGACCCCCTCCTCACCCCTCCTCACACCCGCGGACCCCGTCCTCGACCCCTCCTCCCACCAGAGGACCCCTCCTCACTCCTAACCCCACACGCCGGACCACCTCCTCACCACTCCTCCCACCCGCGGACCCCGTCCTCACTCCTCCTCCCACCCGCGGACCCCGTCCTCACTCCTCCTCCCACCCGCGGACCCCCTCCTCACCCCTCCTCCCACCCGCGGACCCCGTCCTCACCCCCCCCCCCGCGGGCCCCGCACCCCCACGTCTCCCCTTCCCCCACCCAGCAGGGACCCCGTCCTCACCCCCCCCCCGCGGACCCCGTCCTCACTCCTCCTCCCACCCGCGGACCCCGTCCTCACCCCTCCTCACACCCGCGGACCCCGTCCTCCCTCCTCCCCCCACCCGCGGACCCCGTCCTCCCCCCTCCCACCCGCGGACCCCGTCCTCACCCCACCACTGGCAGACCCCTGTGCCCATTGGCTCATACCTGATGGAGGTACTTCCCAGACCCTCCCCCGAGGAGGGCAGCCCCGTGGGTGAGCAGCCTGGACACCTGGTCCTTAGAACTGGCTTAGGGACGCTCTGGTGTTACTTACCTGCTGGGATCCCACGGGAGAGGTGTTTTCAAGAAGGCCTTTCAAAGGGGGATGCCTGCTTCCCCGCGGAGGAAAACAATAAAGGGTGTATTTTAGATTCCAGGTAACCAGGTCCAGGTGTCAGTCACTTCCCAAAAGGCCTGGTTTGCCAAGACTCCTTTGCCAGTCATTGCAGGGGGCGGGGTGAGAGCCACCCTTCTGCTACTTTTGTGGCACACGGTCAGTTTCAGCAGGTAGCAGGGAACCTGCTGCTGTGGAGGGAGGGGGAGGAGGAGAATTCCCAGGCTGGGGCAGAGCCCCAGGCCTGTCCCTGGGGAGGGGTGAGTGGAAGCCTCAGTTCTGGACCCTCTGGTGTGGATACACCCCACACCCCATGATGTGCTTCTCAAAATGAGGAGTTTTGGGTTCTGAAATTACAGCTGGGCTTCCCGCTGCCCATCACCTGGGGAGGGTACCTCTCTGTGGGAAGCTGGCATTTTCCATGTGGAGACAATTTTACTCCTTCAGGACTTGGTAGGTGCAGGTGTTAGCATCTCACGCAAGGACTAGTCCATCAGGTGCTATTTCCTTCCATCCGTGAAACACCTTTGAGTGCTGACATGTGCCCAGTGCGGTCAATTGTGTTGAGATCTCTTGGAGATGTGTAATTTGGGAATCTGCCTCGTTTTTGTTCCTGAGTAACTTTCCCCCAACCATCTTGGCTAGAGCAGGGACACCCCCTGCCCCCCAGACATCAAACCCTGCGGTGGAATGTGGAGCTGAATCACTGGGCATGGCTGGGACCTGTGGGGCTGCAGCCAAGATCTTATCTTGCTTCTCTCGGAATAGATCTGGTTGGTCTAAGAAGGGATGTTTGGGTTAATTTTTGTCCAGGCCTGTTGCTTTGGTGAGCAAGTTTTCTGTTTTACAGTATGAGTTTCTAGCCCTGCCGTGACTTAATTTTCTTGGACATCCGTAAACTGGGAACTTGGCTTTTGTCTTGTTTGGTTTGCTAGTGCTCTGTTTTGCAAGAATGAGGGTAAGAAGAAAGATCAGAATGAAAATGTTTTTAAGCCTGTTTGTTTGTTTCTCAGAGTCTCTGCATTTGGTCTCAAAACCTAGCATGCATACGAATCACCAGATGAAGGTATTCAAAGGTCTGGTTCTCGCCACTCCCAATTCTGATTTGATGAATCTTGGGGGAGCCCAGGACTGTGGGCGGTTAATGAACATTCCGCGTGATGTGATGCGGCGATTGGGACCAGACTTTGGGAACACTGGGCTTGAGGCTTGCCTCCAACTTGCTGGGCCTTGCCCTCCCTTTCCTGGTTGCTTTTCTAACTGCCGTCTGGGGGCCATGCGATGGCGTTCCTATAGTAACTGCCCTGGGCTCACACCCAGTGGGGCTCTGTAGGAGGAGGGGGAGCGCAGATCTGAGGCTTGCGAGGTGGAGGAGGAAGGACAGGGCTGACTTGGAGGACTGGGTCCTAACTCCCAGCTCTCGGGACTCAGTCCTGGTAGTCTACACATCCAAACCGTGTCAGCCAGGACCTGACTGTCCCTCGTGCACCCAGCAAGCGGCGCCTCTGGCTGCCTCACCTCCCCCGGGCTGTCCCTGGAACTGCACAGTCACTGGGATTCAGGGTTAAATGCGCCTCTGCTTGCTCTGGGGAAGCACAGGCTGTAAAACGGGGTGCATTGCTGCTGCCCTGTCAGGTGCCCCTGGCGAAGGAGGCCAGGTCTTCTCTCCCAGGGACTGGCAGGCTTTCAGAATCAACACGGAGGGGGTGCCCGGACAGACGCCTTTCATTCCCAGGGCTCTTCCGTGATTGAAAGGCCATGGCCGGGGAGGGGGGGGGCACGTGACACAAACGCTGCGTGTTCAGTGAGGAAGCAGAATCCTGGACGCCTTTCACCTGCAGGACTTCGCACGCTCCCCGCTGCTTCCTCGTGTCTTACGTAAACAAGGACGGGCTCCGAGCTTGTTTCCGGCTTCGTGCACAGAGCTGTGGACGGCGGCACCGGGACTGAAACCCGGGAGCTTTGACTTTGGACTCCCAAACCCAGAGCTTGCTCACTGGTGGGCAGCCTGAGGTTCTGCCCCTCAGACCCTGCTTAGACATTTGCCCAACTTTCAGTGTTCCCAGGTCCCCACTTGGGCTGGGGCTGCGCCTGAGGGGTGCCCATGTGGGCACCCGCTCACTGACGGGCTGGGTTGTGGGGCCCTCTGTGCCCCTCCCAGGGTGCCTTCCTGGTGGCCAGCGCCGTCCACCGACTCTCCTCGCTGGGTGAGGACATGTCACGCTGGGTGACAGTGCTGCACACACTCAGAAGAGTGTCAATACAGCCATGCCTGAGATCTGTAGGGGGCTGTTTATTTGCATGGGGTTTTCACATATGAAGACTTTTCTGCTGTTTTTAGATGAAAACAGGGGGGATCAGAGAGATGAGCTTGTCCAGAGTCACAGAACTGATGAGGAAATAGGACCACAGCTGCCAGTTCGTGAGCCCTTTCTCTGAGCCCTGTGTGCTCCAGGTGTGGCTTCAGCTCCTCCTCACACCCAGCCCTTCGACCCTGGCCTTGGTCCTTTCCCCAGACTCTGCCCTCGCAGCCCAGCCCAGCGCTCACTGCCCAGCCCAGCGCTCACTGCCCAGCCCAGTGCTGGCACCTGCACGCAGGGCAGGGCCTGTCAGGCCTGGAAAACACCGTAGCTCACCTCGCACAACCTCCTCATTGTGCGGGTGAGGAAACTGAGGTCAAGAGGGTAGATCCTGGGCACCAGGTCACATAGCTTGGTGAGAACAGAACAGGACTCACCCGGTTCCCTGGATTCGGGCCCGTCCCGTTATCTGTTGCTGCTTAACAAACGCCCTCTGAGCCCACCTGTTTAGTTTGCAGACAGCTCGCACCCAGGAGCTCAGGCGGGGCTGTCCTATCACATGTGGTGTTGCTGGGGCAGACACGTGGCCGTGCTCACGTGGCTGCGCTCACGTGGCTGGGCTGCGGGGCCTCAGAGGCGCCCCTTCCGTGGCTGGTTCTCCAGGCCGTTCTCCACTGGGTCCTTGGGCTTCCTCACAGCGGGTAGCCCCTTCCTTTGGCAGCTGGCTTTCAGGAGGGAGGTTAGGAGCAGTGACGGCAGACCCCCAAGGCCTGGCCTCCACCTTACATGCCCTCGCTGCACCCTGCTGCTCACGCCAGGTCGTGGCCAGTTCAGCTTCCAGGCAGGAGGGTGGACTTCACTTCCTGACCAGGAGGGTCAGGCTCCCACTGCAGGAACGCCTCTGGGTCCCGGCACACTCCATACCCAGGCTCTTCCCTCTGCACACACCTCCAGGGACACTATGTCCTCAGAGGACCTGCTCATGCTTCTGGGCGTGACCCTCCGCTCCCATCAGGTACAGTCATGGCTGCAGCAACGCTGTGTCGAGTGGAAGAAATGACCAGTGGTAGAAAATAGACAGTTGTATTGCTGAGTGATCGTATCTTATTATTTCGGTAACCTTCTGAAGACCTCCACTTTATCTTGTAAACCTTCGCTCTGTCAGTTTTCCTGAAATGCAGTCATGTTACTCTCCTCAAAAACACTAAAAGATCCCGGATTCTTAGCATAATGTTCAGGGCTGCCTGGTTGTGAACACTGCCCTTTATTCACCTCGTGACTGGGTCCCACAGCACTACCCACCGGCCCCCGGCCCTCCCTGTGGGTCCCCACCTGGCCCCCGGCCCTGTGCATGTGTCACCATTGAAGTGGAGGTCACCAGCCTCCTGTGAAGGGACTGACCAGGCCTGCTATGGACTGGAGCTGCTTGCCCGTCTGAGTTCGTCCCCATTGTCATCGTC